GCAGGAGCTGATTTGTGTGCAGGCTTGCCTGCCTTCAGAGCTTACTCTTCATCTTCCTCCTTGTCTGTTTCTCTAGAAACAGTGCCTGCCTTGCTCTTTACCGAAAATATCCGTTATAGGTCATGAATATATGAATGAACGTGTGAACGTGTGTTTGAACGCCTGCCTGTTGTATCCCTCGCAGAGTGTAAGAGATGCCCACCCAGCCTTCCAGGCAGTCGCCTGCCCTCTCCCTCCCCCTTTCATTCACTTCTTCCTCCGGTGGTGTGCTGGGGCAGCTCCTGCCAGCCCAGCAACTGTGTGCATCTCTTTACAGACCCACCGCCAGCGATGTCACTCTGGTAGCCACAAATTGGCTAAGATGTGCAAAGTCACACGGGATTCTATTCAGGAAGAAGCAGGAAATATCTCCTGGAATAGTGCTGCCTGTCTGGATTTCCATTCTTTTATTCTGTCGCCTGTCTCTTCATCCATCCATCCATCCATCCATCGCCCGCCCAGCTGTATGATCACACAACCAAATGTGTCTAATTGTACCCGTCCATCTGTACGTTCGATGTTTGCCCATCTGTCCAGCCATCCGCTACCCATCTATCCATCTTTCTGTGCGCTTGCTCACGTATTCATTTCTCCTCTGTCCTGCCTGTCCATCCTGCCCATCTGTCCACTGTCAGCCATCATCTTACACACACACTGAGAACCTCCTAGGTTACGGGCCCTGTGCTGGGCCCTGGAGAAGACGCAGTCCTCCACTCCCAGCATCGTTCCTGTTCCCTGAGAAAGGGGTCCTGGGCTTGTCCTCTGCTCCTGGGCTCCCCAGAAGCCAGGACCCCCTGCCAGGACTCCCAGGGGGCCGGCCTGTTGGGCTGGGCGTTGCTGGAGCGGATTCCAGCCAGACCCCATCCAGCTGCTGCTGCTTCTCGGGCTGGGAAGCCGCACCCCGCCTGCCCCGATTGTCCGATTGTCCGTCTGCCACCTGACCTGAGTCTCCTTTTTCCTCTGTTGTCTGTGTTTTGTCCTTCTTGTCCTGCCTGCTCCTCTCACCTGCTCTCCTTCTGCCTGGCCGCTTGGGGGCTCCAGCTTTCTCCAGACCTGACTAGGCTAAAGGAGAGATACGCCAGGACTAAGAGAGACATCTTGGCGTTAAGAGTTGGGGGGAGAGACATGCAGGAGCTGAAGCACAAGTACGATTATAAGGTACTGTCTGTCCACCCCTCCCCAGGCCTGGAGGGGCCGCCTGCGGCTGCAGAACCTCAGGGCCTTTCTGCTGCGCTGGGCTGTGAGGGCGGGCTGAGCCTTGGGTGTCCTGGACCTGCACCCTGGCTGCATTTTGCATCTGGGCTGCAGCTGGGCGATGGCTTATGCCAGCTGTGCCTCTCACAATCTTGTTCCTGCTTCCTCCACCTGCAGCAGACACGCTAAGAGTCACAAGAATTTCCCCATGGGTTTTCAATCTTTAGGGCCCTCAGAATCACTTGGGGAGTCCTTTGTTCTTAGGCAGATTTCTGAGCTCTCCCCCTGAGGTGCTGATTGCCTAGGTCCGGGGCACAGCTCAGGAACCTGCGTGTTTAGCATCCATGGTGGGTCTGGGTTATGCGGTGAAAAATCAGTGTGGGTGATCTTGGATATCCCTGCCCCTCCACGCTCTTCAGAGAGGTCCAGGTTAAGGAGAAATCCTGCTCGGATGGGACTTGGGCTTTTGGGTGCTGTTGGCCATTAGCAGCCCTTAAGTGAACCCCTGCTGTGTCATAGCAACAAACTTCGAATCCTGCAGCCCTGGGTTTCTTCCTCACTGAGTGATCAGGACCACAGGGTGCTAGATGTTCAGAGCTCGGTGACTGTGGCCTCTGTTGTGATCTCATGCTGATGGTCTTGTTCCCCACACCACCACTCAGGGGCAGGAGCAGAGCACTGGCTGGTGGTCAGCCCCTGTGGCCATGGCAGAGCTGGGGTTCCAGCCAGGTCTGCACACACTAAGGCTTGAGTGCTGTCCTGCTGCCCCCTGCACCAGAGCTGGGCTGCCCAAGAAGGGACACTCTCACTGTTCCCCAGTGTGGGGCAGTTTAAGCCATCAGGAAGTGAGGCTTGGAGAGAAGCCGTGGAGGGCAGAGCCCAAGGGCAAGGCACGTCCCCCATCACAGCCTCGCTGTCTCGGGGACCCGCTCAGGTACTTGCTTGCTGCAGGCAAATGCCAAGTGAAGGGTCCCAAGTGATCCCCCAGATGTTCTGTCCCTCAGATGGGCCCTGAATAGTTTTCTCCCAAGAACAAGAGAAAGGCTATATGGCCCCCAGAAGAGGCTATCCCCCAAATGTCCAGTTACTGGGGTGGACATCTGTCCTTCCATCAGATCTTCAAAGGCGCCTATGCCCTCTCTCTCCAGGAGGCCAAGGACCGTTCCTTGTAGTTGTGGGGCGCCACTGGGCCCCACTTCCCTTTTCCCCCACCAGGGCTGCTTCCAGAAGGCAGCCTTGTTCCTGAAAAGTCACTGCCCTGTCCCTGCGGCCCTGACCTTGGGGCTTTCCAGCAAGCATTCCTCCCCCAGGCCCTTGAGCAGTGCAGGGCCTTTTAGCTGGGGACCAAGGGACAGTGAGAGGTGACAGTAAGGACAGAAGAGGCCCGAGGATGCCTGCAGATCTGTGTCCCCTGCTCTCAGGGCAGTTTGAAGGAAGAGAGGGTTTTCCTGGAACCGTGCTGTCCCTCGTGATGGCCCTGTGGCAGCCTCTATTGGAATTAATTAAAAACGGCTGGGTGTGGTGGCTGGCCTGAGCCTATCCTCCCAATATCACAGGCTTGAGCCCGCCATGGCCAGCTTGGTGATTTGGTGAGGCCTTGTTTTAAAATTAAAATGGATTGGAAATTAGCTCAGTGTGAAGGCCTGGGTTCAATCCCTGGGATTGCAGGAAAAAAAAATAAAAAAAACATCATGAGGAATTGGGGTGCACAGTTACAGTGGTGGAGCTCAGGGGCCATAGTCACAGAGGCCACCGTGTTGGGCAGGACAGACACAGAGCATTACTGCTATTGCAGAGACCTAGTGGTCAGTGCTGACTGTGTAGGACAGAGAAGGTACCAAGAGCGGAACCAGTGGGTGAGAGAGGTGGGGGCCACAGAGTGGCACTGCACAGCAGCGCCCAGTGGTGCCCCCTCGGGCACGGTGTCCTCCTCCTGCCTCTGCCTGCTCAGCTTGCTGTGCCCACGTCCGCCTCCGGGACAGCTGCTTCCCGCTCTGTCCGCTTTGTCTTCCCCTTTCCCTGGGCAGCGGCTCATGGGGAACCTGGTTGTCGGGGGCAAAGGATGGGTCCTTCCCTGGGCTTGGTGATGGGACAGGGTGTGTCTTCTGTCGCCACCAAAATGGCACAGCAGTCCAGCTGTTCGGTGCACCTCCCGGTCTCCTAGTCCACACAGACCCCGAGAGGGTAGGTTTTGCTATTTCCCAGGGGAAACTGAGGCTCAGCAAGGTGGAATGACTTGTCCACTTGCTGGGGAGGAGCCGAGTTGGGATTTGAAGCCAGCCCCGGGACTCCGGCCTCCCCCTCCCCAGCGTCTCGTAGTTTGACACCTGTTCCCAGGGTTTGTCCTGAAGGAAGCTGGCGGGTTGGGAGGCCCCACCCCCGCCTGCAGGGAGCCCTGCGGGGCACGATGGCACCCACTTCTGTCTCGTCGTCCCTCCTGGCTGTGGCTGCTCACCCCGCTGGCAGGAATGGGCCAGGATGTTCTCGGGTTGGAGGAGGCTGGTGGCCCGCAGGTGTCCTTCTGCGTCTCTGATGCGCCCTCTGCCTTTACTCAGATGACCCAGCTCATGAAGGCTGCCAAGAGCGGGACCAAGGATGGGCTGGAGAAGACGAGGATGGCCGTCATGCGCAGGGTATCCTTTCTGCACAGGAAAGACGTCCTTGGTGAGGCGCTGGAGGGGTGGCGGTGGTAGTGTCTGGCTTTTGTGGGTTTTGTGGGGGTTGGGGGCAGTTCCAGATGTCCCTCTTTTCAGAGTGCTGGCCCTTGCTCTTAGCCGTGAGCGTCTTAGCCTCCTGCTTACCTGGCCTCCATCCCTGCCCTATCCATCTGCCTATCCTCCAACCGGCCTGTGTTTATTGAACACATACTACGTGCACCGAGGGGTCACTGGGGTTGTAGAGGAAAGGAGTGTGGAGTGGCGAGTGGGAGGTGAGGAACAAGCAGGAACCGGGGCATCAGGTCAGGGGCAGCAGTGCAGGCCTGGAGGTGGAAGGTGTGAGGTGTTCAGGAAATGATTTTCACGCCTGGGACCCTAATGCTCTGGGGGAGGCTGAGGCAGGAGGCTGGCAGGTTTGAGCCCAGCCTGGGCAAACTGGCGACTTTGTGAGACCCTGCCTCCAAATACAAAACAAGGGCTGGGAAAATGACTCTGCACAGAGTTGGATTTAATTCCTGGTACCCCAGAGGGAGAAAAAAGAAATGATTTTCATGGTGGTCAGCCTTTCTCCAGCATTTGCTCTGTGCCAGGTGCTCCAAGAGCTCGTGGAGCCTCCCTTTCCCGTTACAGATGCACCGAGGGAGGTGCAGAATGTGCCATGTTTCCGGGCTATAGATGGGAACGAGCACAGAGAGGCTGGGGGACTTGGCCAAGGACACACAGGCGTGGAAAGGCTGGAGGGGCCTCACCTGGCTGGAGCGAGGGTGGACGGGAGGTCTGTCCTGCAGGAGCCTTGTTAGGTGGTGGCCTTTGACCTCATGGAGCCTGGAGGGTCATTAGAGGGTTTTCGGTAGCAGAGTCTTATGGTTGGGTTTGAGTGACTGGTCTTGCATCGTGCAGGTTTTAGTTAGCATCTCCTGTGTGCTGGCTGCTGGTGGAGTCTGCGTGATGGGAAATAAAGCACAAGCAGAGATGTGACATGGTGCTGGGCAGCGGCAGGCGCTGTAGGGAACAGCCGTGCCAGAGGCTGGGTGGGGGGACTGCCAGCGGGGTGGGTCCTGCCGATTGGGGTGGGGGCGGGGAGAAGGAGTCCCTGGGGAAGTGGGACAGGTGCGAGAGGGTCCTGGCAGAGCCTGGCTGCTGCCCACATGCTCTCCTGGCCTGTGCCCAGGTTTCTACTGGTGCCCGAGTGGGCTGCCAGCCCCACATGCCTGGCCCAAGGCTCGGTCCCTGGAGCCCCTGCGCACATGGGGTGGCCCACTCCCCTGCCCTGTGCTCATCTTTTGCTTCTGGTCTTCACGGGACACTGGTCCCCTCTGCCCGAGACCGCTCTGGCTGGGACTGAGGAACACTGCCAAGCAACAGGGGGCAGGGGACAGGGCCAAGCAAGGCCCAGCCATGCTGTGTGCTGCTCACGTCTCTGGAGGCCACAGATGAGGAGATGAGAAATGCTAGAACAGTGGCCCTCGAAAGAGGCCTCTTCTAGAGTGTGCCCTTGAAATACAGCTTCCAGCCAGAGATAGCCTGTGCCTTCTTGGAAAGCTCAGCATTGTAGCTATTCTATGCCTCAGTTTCCTCATCTGGACAGTGGGGCTAACAATGGCACGCATCTCCCAGGGCCATGGTGAGGATGACAGAGGTCATGGGTGCAAAGAGCCCTCCATGGCGGGCGTTGTTTCCAATGGCAGTCAGCCTGATGTGGAGGCTTTGGGTGGCAGGGTGTCGTCACATTGACCTGAGTCACATCCCTGCTCTGGGGCCTCTGGGCTATGACCTTGTCCAGTTCTTCTCCTCCCAGAGCAGTGGGTTCCTCCTCTGTACAATGGGTTGAACCCCGTGTTCCCTGAGCAGTGCTGAGCAAGCTGGGTGTGCGCAGGACGGGGTGCTCAGGGTTTGTGCCCTGTGTCTTATTGGGGAGCAGGCCCACGGAGGACAGGACAGGCCGAGTGGCTGGGGATTGTTTCTGGGACACCCACGAGCTCAGAGCCTCTCCTAAGTGACCCTCCCACCAGTGGGGTTATTAATAGTCGCCTAGCTCGGGTCGAGGGCCAAGAATGTTACCCAGCAGCTCGTGGGGGAAGAGGAAGCCGCGGAGCCGGCGGCTGGGGTGGGTGCGGAGCGATGCCCGCGGCGGCATCATGTGGGCCAGGCAGGAGGGCCTTCGCCACCCCTACTCCCACGCGGTCGTCCGCTGTCCCTCCTCCTCCTCCTCCTCCGTCTCCTGCTCAGGTAAGAGCCTGCCCCGAGCCCCTGCTCACTGAGCCCGGGGGGTCACCCTACTGCTTTCTCCCCAGTACCAACTTCCTGCCAAGGCCATTGAGCAGTTGGGGTGTTGCCTCTCAGTACCTGAGCCCCGCTTGCAGGGCCGGGACCCTCCTGGGATGGCCCTGCTGCACTCTGCCTGGCCTCGCTCTCCCCGAGGCCTGCCTGGGCTGCTGCTGCCCCTCTCGGCCTGTCTGGCTTCGGGTTTCCCTCACTGTGTCCAAATCCCAGCTGAGCTTGGCTTTCTTGGTCTTGTTGCATTTTTAATGTTTAATTTTCTATGAAAAAATGAAAATGCAAAGCCAAATGATTTCGTTTTCTCTGGGCTTATTTTCTTCCCTCTTACAGGCGTGCAGAAGGTAACTATTTTTAGTGTCTAGTGATGGGGATATGAGCTGCTGGCCTTCACCCAGGCGGAGCAGGGACAGTGACTTCTGGAGGAGTTGACGCTGAGATCTAGGCCTGGGATGCTGCTTGGTGTCCCCTCCCTCGCTCCCTTCCTCTCCCCTGGCACAGGGGCCCGTGCAGGCCCCGGGTGTAGCAGGAAACCCACAGCACAGGGCCTTGCGTTGCTCCGACCCACACGGTTCCAGGGGCTGCTGGCCCCCGACGGAGTCCAGGGCTCATGCTGCGTGGCCCTGAGCCCCTGAGCCCCTGCAGCCTGAGCAGGGTGTGTTCTCTCCACTTTGGCCTTGTAATCAGCCCCTCTGACTTTCCAGGTGACTCAGAAGAGGAGGACATGGGGCTGCTGGAGGTCAGTGTGACGGACATCAAACCTCCGGCCCCGGAGCTGGGTCCCATGCCAGATGGCCTGAGCCCTCAGCAGGTCAGTGGGGGCCTGGGGTGGGGTCTGCAGAGACGGGAAGTCGGGGTCCCAGGGTGCTCTCGGGGGCCACAGGGGTCTGGGCCTGGAAGAGGAAGTGATGACTCGGGCTCTTGGCAGAGGGTGGGGGCCACCTAGGCTTTCTTCTTAGCTGGCTGCTCTCCAAACTGGAGTCCTGGGTTCCGTGCCGTTGGTTTGGGGGACCGTGGGGTCCTCTTGCCCCCGTGGCATCCGGGCCTGTCCTGAGTGTTGTTTGAGGGACGGGCTTCAGGGAAGAAAGGCTGAGAAGCACTGAACTGTGTAACTTAATGGCAGAGGACTGCAGGTGGCGGTCCCCATCCGAGGTCCACCTGTCACCTCACTGGGACACTGCAGCTGTTATAGGTTTTGGCGGGGAGCTGGGGCTGTGGCAGTGGTGTGTTCCTTCTCCCAGAGGATCCCACAGATTGGTGGCTTTGCTTCGGGACTTTGTTCTTGTCACAGCTCTCCCCTCCCCACCTGGATTTTGGCAGCTGGGAGGTGGGGTCTGAGCTGTCTGGTAATGAGCCTGCAGGGGAAGGGATTTGCTTGGTTTTTGGTTATCGGGGAAAACATCTGGCCTTGTTTGGAAATCAAGAAGACTGCCCCATGGGTTCTACTCCCGCAGTACCTGTGGCTGGCCTGAGTCCCTTCTTAGGACGCTTGCATTCATCGATCTCTGAATGGCTCTGAGGAGGTGACAGCTTGCTGAACCCCTTGACAGCTGTCAGGGAGCCAGGCAAGGCCCCAGGCTTCTCACTCCCAGCCAGGCCTGCTCTTTCTCCTGGCCAGTCCCTGTCCCCTGAAGGCTTTTGTGACCCTGAATCAAGGACTGTAGGTTACTCTAGGCCTGCAGTTCTCAACTCAGAGTGTTTGAACCCTCTGGGAAACATCTGGCAGTGCCTGGGGACATTTCTGGTTGCCACAACTCAGGGTTGTTGCTAGCATTGGTGGGTATTGGCCAGGAGGCTGCTTATAGTAATCTGGGGTACTCTGGGCAGTCCCCCCACCCCAGCTACTCAGCCCACATGTCCAGATGCTGGGACTCAGGATTCTGTTCAGGGTGCTGCTTAGACTTCTAGAGGTTACTGACACCACATCCTGGGGACAGCTTGTAGGACAATGGCCCTGGCCATCTATGGGACTGTGTACACCATGGGCAGGCCCAGGGGAGGAAGGGAGTGTGTATTGGGGGAAGAGTTGAGAAGCATGTACCGGGGGAAAGGGGAGTAGTGTGTGTGGGGGGAGCTGGGTCAACACTCAGAACAGCTGGGGGTGCAGTGGGTCACCCTCCCACATACAACACCTCTGTCCCCACTCTGCTATGCAATAGATGGGCTGGGAAAGATTTAAAGCCTATACCCAGATTTCTAGCTTGCACCTGTACCGAAGGCATCTCCGTGTCTGGGTGGGACCCAGGTGGCAGTGTGTTTTAAAGGTCCCTGCATGACGCCAATATGCAGCAAAGTTTGGGACCTGCCACTGCCAAGTCCAGGGTGTCGGGGTCGGGGAGTCAGTTACACCTCCCCTGACAGGTGCTGGCTAGGGAGTAGGGTCCTCTCTGTGGACCCTGCTCCTGGGGTGCCAGTGCAGGCTGAGGGGAGACAGGATGACGAGAAAGGGGAAGAGACTGGGGATGTTTAGTCTGAGACGGAGACCCCGGGGAGGAGGTCACCCCAAGGACTGTCGGGGAGGAGGGATGGCTCGTGGCCTCTCGTGACCTCCATCAGCATCCGTAGTGGGTGCGTGTGTGAAGATGTGTGCAAACAGAGGCTCAGCAGGGTCCTGCACTGGGGACCCGCGCTCTCTGTTGCAGGCTGGGCAGACAGTGTCTCTCCGGTGGGCAGGGGCTCTGCAGGGAAACGCAGCCCCCTGGGCCCTGGGGTCCCAGGTGTGGCTCTGGGAGGCCCGGACCCCTGTCCCGTTTCTGTCGCCTCCTTCCTATCCCTGGGCCCCGCACATGACTGCACTCTCTGCCCGCGCAGGTGGTCCGGAGGCACATCCTGGGCTCCATCGTACAAAGTGAAGGCAGCTACGTGGAGTCGCTGAAGCGGATACTCCAGGTGCAGTGTCGGGGGCTCCGAGACTGGGCAAGGAAGGCGCTGGGGAGGGGCTCTCCAGGGGCATTTGGGGACCATTTCAGGGAGAAGGAGCCCAAAGCCAGCACTGTTCATGGGGCCAGCAGGGCCAGCAGTTGAGGAACACCAAGGATCCCTAGCTTCTTCGTGTTCATGAGGGTGACACTTCCCAGACCGCCTGGATTCTGTGAAGGGAGTGAAGTGTGTGTGATCTCTTTTGTCCCTGGAAGGGGCTGCATCTTCTTTGCCCATTTGGGAATCCTTGGGGCCCATGCTGCATCTCCCCAGCATCCTGGGGCTCCCCAAGGCAGAGGCTGCTAAGCAGATGCTTCTGTGGGGTGACCAGAGTGTGCCAGTGGGGTCTGTGACTTGAAGCTGAGGCTGGGAGCCTCCTGGGATGTTGGAGTGAGGTCACCAGGCAGGGACTTCCAAGGTGGGAGGCGCTGATGACACCTCTTCCTCCCAGGTGTCAGGCACGGAGAGGTGGAAGCATCCCGCTTCCCATGGAGGGGGAAGAGAGTGGTGCTAGGTCTGTCCCTGCCCAGGGACAGAGTGGCTCAGTGTGTGTCCCAACACACACTCTCCAGCTGCCACCAGGAAGCTCCTCCCATGCAGGTGGCACCTAAGAGACCCTCTGGCTCCTAAGTGCAAGCTGAAGTCATGGGCTGCGGGTTACAGGTAGCAAAGAAAGGCCAGGCATGTTGAATCCAGAAGGGCACACAAAGCGTGGGGATGCCTCTCCCACAGCAGGAAGGCCCCCCCGGGGTGCTGAGTCCTCCTGGGCGGCCCTGGTGGCAGGTGGGGGAGACTGGGCTGGCCTTGGCCTCACCCCATCCCCCCACAGGACTACCGCAACCCCCTGATGGAGATGGAGCCCAAGGTGCTGAGTGTCCGCAAGTGCCAGGTGGTGTTCTTCCGTGTGAAGGAGATTTTGCACTGCCACTCCATGTTCCAGATCGCCCTGTCCTCCCGCGTGGCCGAGTGGGACTCGACAGAGAAGATTGGGGACCTCTTTGTGGCCTCGGTGGGTGTCCCCAAATTCTTTCCCCAGTATTCCTCAGTAAAACCACAGTCACTTGGTGCAGCCTCCTGCCTCTGCCTTGGCCAGGCCAGGTGAGGGTGTGGGTCAGAGTGCAGCAGGGTCCCTGAGTCTTCCTGATCCAAGCTGGCATGGATAGGGTACCTTCGTGTGCCCAGGATGTCTGAGGAGAGGTCTGCCAGGCCCTGGTGCCAGCAAAGCCAGGGCCTGGCCCTGAATCTCCCTGAGTGGCAGCATCTGCAAGAAGTGTCTGGTCTCCAGCCACTGTGGGTGGCCAGTTGGCAGGTCTCAGGCTCTCTCCCCAGGGGACCGGCCTCTGTTTGAGCCTGGCCCAAACCGATGGCTTGGTCCCCGAGGAGCCTTCTCTTGGTCCAGGAGGCCTGCGCCTGGTCCCAGCTCAGTTCTGCAGCCTTAGGCAGGTCCAGGCCCTCTCTGGCTGAGGGTTCCCCATCTGTGAAATGAGAGGGTGTGTGGGGTTCCTGGCTTTTCAAAGTGAAATCAGGGCATCCCGGAGACACAGGGGTGCGAGAGAGGGTCAAGTCTGTGGAACTCTGCTTTGATCTATTTTAGGTCATTGGGTTCTATTCAAAGAAAAAAAAAATCATTTTGAAAACCTCAGCTCTTGTAGACCCATTAAACAGAGCCAGTGTCCTGGGTCCTGCGCTCCAGAGGCTCTGATGAGGGGCTTAGCTCCCCGAGAGGGTCTAGGAGTGTGGTCTCTGGGGGTGGGGCGCGGGTGGTAAGGACATGGGTGTGGTATAAGCCATGCCCCTATCCTCCCTGTCCATCTGTGGGCTCTGGCTGCTGTAGAGAGACCCCCCCGGCTCTTCTCAGATGCTGTCTAGTCCCTGTGACCTCTGAGCCCCGTTTCCCCGCCTGGCTGGATGACGGGTCTGCTTGTCTTGCCGTTTGTGGAGATCTTGTGGTCTTGTGGGCTGAGCTGTGGTTGTGTGGGGTAGTGTCCTGCCCTGTGTTGATGTGCGCCCTCCTCCCTCCACCCCTCCGTCTCTCCTTCCCCTCCCCGCCCCTCCCCACAGTTCTCCAAGTGCATGGTGCTGGACGTGTACAGCGACTACGTAAACAACTTCACCAACGCCATGTCCATCATCAAGAAGGCCTGTCTCACCAAGCCGTCTTTCCTGGAGTTCCTCAAGGTGGCCTGGGTGCTCTTACCAGGGCGTGGGCTGGGGGTGCTCAGGAGGGAGGCCCAGACACCCACCCTTCCTCCTTGGCTCCCCCAGTCTTCCACCCAGAGGAGGGTGAGAAAGAGCTGAGGGATGTTAGGCAGCTTGGGGTCCTAGAGCTTTGCAGGGGGACCCCTGTGGAACAGGAGGATGAACTGTGGGAACCGCTGGATGGGCTCCCCCTGTGACCCCGCTGACCCCTCCCTCCCCTACCTCCTGAGCAGGAGGCCTCACCTGTCCTTCTGGCGGGCAGCAGCTCAGAGGTGCTGAGCTGGTTTTTGCTGTCATTTGCAAAAGGATGAGAAGAATTCCCCCAAGTCTTGGGCATCTCCTGGGGGGACAGAGGCTAAAGGGCTGCAGGGTCTGTAGGTAACTAGCGGGCTCCCAATTTCCCTGATAGCCCTGTCTACAGGGAGCCTGTTGCCCAAGGACACAGGGCTGGAGGGGCCCAGGCAGGGGAGAGGGGTGGGAGAGAGTGTTCCAGGTGCGAGGGCTGTGATGGGGCGATGGGAAGACCGAGTCTGGATTCTGGGGGTGTGGGAGGCCTGCTGGGGAGTCCTAGGAGAGAAGGCCACGAGTTTGGTTTGGGCCACTCAGGACCTGCTGGCCTAGGGCTGGGACAGAGGATTTCAGGCAGCAGGAGCCACGGAAGAGTTTAGAGCTGGCGCAGGCAGACAGATGTGGGGGCTGGTGGAGAAGCTGCGGGGCTCTGGGGGGCGAGGGCCAGGACAGCAAGGAGCCCCTGTGCCCAGCCCTCACACTAGCCCGGGCCCACGTGCTTCTAGTTCGGGGAGCAGGATTGGCTCCTTGGGCAGTCAGACCTCAGGATTAAAGGGCTACCTCGCTCAGTTATGCCTGTAGTTCAGAGACCCACTCCGCTGCCCACCCTGCTGCCCACACTGGCCGTCTCGGGAGTGTGGGGTCGTCCATGGCTGCAGATCCAGGGGTCCCACTCAGCTCTGGTCTCAGGCCTGTGCTGAGCAGGGTCCAGGGGCCCCAACAGAGGAGCCTCCACACTGGGTCCTCTCTGCAGGAGGCCAGCGAATGACATGACCTTGTCCCCGACAGCGGCGGCAGGTGTGCAGCCCCGACCGCGTCACCCTGTACGGGTTGATGGTGAAGCCCATCCAGCGGTTTCCACAGTTCATCCTCCTGCTCCAGGTACCACGCCCTCCGGACTGCTGTGGGGGGTGGGAACCTCCTGGGGGGGGGCTGGACCCCAGCTGTTATCCTGACCCACATCTCGTCCCAGCCTTGGGCTCTGGCCTCCTTGTTCTCCTCTCCTGGTGGGGAGCATCATGTTCCAATTTGTAGTTTGTACGTCTGCCCAGGGCAGGAAGGGGACCTGTGACTTGCAGGCTTCTGGTAGGACGGGCGCTCTACCAGCCCAAGGGGTACCCACCCCGCACAGGGCCCAGAGAGTGGGGGATCCAGTCCATTGCTAGGGTCTCCTGGGTGATCCCTTGGGAGCTGAGGGTGGCTACCGAGCCCGGGGCGTAGAGAGAGTGGCATTTCCCTCCATCTCTGCAGACCTGCCAGGCTGCAGAAATGGGCTGTAATCTAAGCATCGGAATCCATCAGTTTGGATCCATGCATTTGTTTATCAGCTACCATGGTAACCACTTTCAAGGGTCCGGTCCAGTGCCACTGGGCACATTTACCTGTGTGGCCGTCCCCGCCACCATCTCCTCTCCAGAGCATCTCCTCTTCCAGCTGAACTTCGTCTCTATGACTCTGTGAAGTGATGGTTTCCCTGCCCCTCTCCCCCGGCCCCATCCTACTTTCCCTCTCTGTAAACCGGGCGTCCCTGGGGCACTGTACTGCATTCTTTTTGTGTCCAGCTTAGTCCACTCAGCGCCATGTCCTCCAGGTTCCCCACGCAGAAGCCTGGGTCAGAGTCCCTTCCTTTTGAAGGCTGCATAATATTTCCTCGGGTGCCTAGGCCACATTTTGCTGATCGGTCGTTCCCGTGGAGGCCCTTGGGTAGCTCCTCGTTTGGGCTGTTGTGAATGACGCTGCCAGAGACACCATGGGTGGCTATCTCTTCAGAGCCCTGCTTCCAGTTCTTTGGGTGGATACCCAGGAAGACCCGCATGATTATTTTCTTCTGAGCGCTCAGTCTGTGTCTTGGGATCTCGTGCTGGGCCCTGTGTCCCAGCCGCCAGCTGAGTCCTTTGCAGACCTGTCGGGGCAGGCGGTGTGGCAGTCAGGGCCTTGACTTCAGCCCATGGAGGGTCTGCGTGGGAGGGGTTCCCAGTCCCGGCTCTCTGTGCCTTGCAGGACATGCTGAAGAACACCCCCAGGGGCCACCCCGACAGGCTGTCCTTGCAGCTGGCCCTCACGGAGCTGGAGACGCTGGCCGAGAAGCTGAATGAGCAAAAGCGGCTGGCCGACCAGGTGGCCGAGATCCAGCAGCTAACGAAGAGCGTCAGCGACCGCAGCAGCCTCAACAAGGTGAGCTGGGCGCTCCCTCCCTGTCTTCCCCCTTGTCTCCCTTCCGCCTCCCTCTTGTCCAGCTCCTCCTCCCTCTCTCCCTCCCCGTTTTCGCCCCTCACCCTCCCTCCTGCTCCTCCTCCGCTCCTGCCTCCTGCGCCACCACAGCCACCCACTAGGTGGCAGTGTTCCCCGAGGGAGGCGGCCTTTACTTTTTCAAGTCCTGAGCGGAAGGCTGAGATTCTTGATGGGCTCGGCATTCTTACCAATTGTTATTTTAAGATGAAAACAGATTTAGTTCATTCCTGTGATTGCTAGAAAATGTACTGTAGCTAAATGAGTGGGCTGTGGAATCTGGGTTAAAAATCTCGAACCACCACAGTGGAGCATGTTTGTCATCTCAGTACATGGGGAGACTGAGGCAAGAGGATTGTGAATTTAAAGTCCTGCCTAGGAATTTATGGTAGCTCTGTCGCAAAATAAAGAAAATAAAAGGGGCTGGGAACATAGGTCAGTGGCAGAGCTGCCACAGGTTTGACCCTTAATGTCATGCACACACACACACACACACACACACACACACACGCGCACGGGGCTGAGTTTTACCACTGGTATTGCTGTGTTTGTCCGCAGGGGAATTCCCCAGCCTCTCTTGAGTTTCACTTGCTCCCTCTAAAATGATGAAATTTCTTAGCACTGTTGCCCCGAGCCTCTGGGGAGTGAGGAAGAAGGCACAGTGACACCCAGAGAGAGCTTAGGAAACACGGAGAGGTGTAAGGTTTGTGCTGCGCTTTGGGGTTGGCACCTAGGAACGTTTTGGTACAGAAATCCCGAGGCTTGGGGAGGGAGCTCAGTGCAGAGCGCTGGCCTGGTGTGCAGGAGGTCCTGGCCAGGGTCCCACACCTGGGCCAGGGCCCGCAGATCTGTGGAGAACCCTATTTTGAACCCCAAGGTCACCGCTCTGATAAAGTGTAGTCCCTCCGTTTCCCCGCTCTCTTCCCCTAGGATGAGGGCTGATGTGCGGGGCCTCATCCCCTGCACAGTGCACAGGTCTGGGAAAGACCCGGGACCTCTAGGCACTGGGAGTCTGAGAGCAGAACAAGGCCTGGCTGGCTCCTGGGAGGGGCTTCAGTGCTGGGCAGGAATGTCCTAGTGCCCAGAGGACGGAGGGACGGCCGCCCTCCCTGTGCCTTGCATTTGCTGGTCCTGATGCCCTCCGGCCTGTGGGACCTGTCTGACCTCCACCGCAGGCCCACAGAGAGGGGCTGGGCCGAGGTCTCCTGGGGTCCCCGCAGGCCTGAGGCTCAGCCATTCCACATCTCAGGACCCTCAGCCTCGGGCCAGATTCAGGCAACAGATGTGTTTCAAGGCCCACATGGTGTTTTTCAAGAAAAGGAAGCAGAACGTTTACAGATCGGGAAATGAGCCGAGAAGCTCAGGCTCGGGGATCTTCCAGGAGTGGGGAGAAGCTGGCATCCCCGCCCGCATCCTGTGTGGCACCGCTCTCCCGAGCTGCCCACTCCCTCGGTCCCCACCGCTTTCTCCCACTAGACTGGGTTGGCCCGAGGCACCTGGGTTTGCTTGGCACGGATCCTCCCCTGGGGGATGTCCCCGTTCAGGACCTCAGAGGGGAGTTAGTTTGGCTGTCCGGAGAAGAGGCTGTGGCCCCAGCAGGGCCACCTATGCTGGCCTTTGTGTCCCTGCCTCCCACTTCCTGTGTCCTGCAGAGCCCCCTTGTCCTGCAGAAACCAATCCCGCAGCATCCCCCTGTTCTGTTCTCCTCCCCTGTACCCCATGGAGACCTGGCAGTGGTGCACGGTAGTTGCTGGGTGGAGGTCAGAGAGACCCATTAGATGCTGGGCCAGGGACTTGATGTTCCAGCCTCAGTTTCCCTGTTCATCAAGTGAGGGGTGAGCTGGGCAGGTGTGTGATGCTGCTGTGAGGGGTGTGGTGGTGGCCGCACTGGTGATGGCCACCCCAGAGGACCCTCCTTGGACAGGCTTGGCCACTCTTGGGACGTGTTCAGCGATGACCCTCTCGCCATCACCCAGTGAGAAGAGGAAATGAAACTGGTGTTCCCTGAAATGGAGCCATCGCTATTTCAAATTAGCTGACACAGGGGCCTCCAGGGGCACGTTGGTGCAATATCCGGATTTCTTTTTTTTTAATCTTTTCATCTGCTAGAGGGACAGGGTGGTGATTGCAGGAAGCCAAATCTTCCCTGGGTGGGTCCTGGCACACTGGTGGCCTGGCGTGGGGGCCCTGCTGGCCTTGCGGTCTGAGCAGTGTTGTCATGAGCTGCGCTGAGTTGTTTGCGGAAACACCGGGGGTGGGGGTGAGGCCTTCCTGAGCAGCTGCAGGGGGTACCCTAAGGCTCCCGGAGTCTACTTCGAGGCAGGAGCAGTGGGATCTCTGGCTTGCACCATGCAGGGCTCTGCTCACACCACGCACGTGACCTGGCTCCGTCCTGTGCTGTCATGCGGTGCCTCTGGGCACCTCCACCTCACCTGACCCCCGGAACCTCAGTTTCCTCATCTGAGGAGTGAGCAGGCCTCACACAGCTGCCGAGCAGTTGGTGACACGGGGAACTTTGCATGCTGACCTCAGTGCCCGATACATGGCCACTGCCCGGCATCATTCAGACCTTTGATTGTTGACTTGAGAGATGTGATTGTCTGGGGATTGGGGCATTCTCTCTAGGGAGGCTTTGGGGTACTCTGTCTTCTCTTGGCCAGCAGGATTCCAAGGAAGGAGAGGACAGTGGCTGTCTGAGTCACAGGTTTAGGGACTGCTGGATTCTTCCCACTGTCTCTCATAAAAGTCCCTGTGGGGGAACAAAGGTGGTGCCAGTGCAAGTCGGGGTCTTGGTCTTCAGCCTCTCCAGAGGGCCCACTGTTGACCCGCAGCTCTGTTTCTGGCCAGCCAAGAGCCAGAGGGGCTGAGGCTGTTGAGCGAGTTTAGGTGCAGCGGGGCAGGTCCCTGGCAGAGTCACACCTCTCTAGGGTGGGGACCATTGTGGAGAGTTGTCTTGGGCCAGTGGGTCCCTATGGAGTGTCCTTGGAATGCCCCACACAGGGCCAGCTGTGCTACTGTGCCCCTCCAGGGCAGCACGGAGAAGGGCCCTGTGCTCTGGGAAACATGTGCCAGCCTGTATTGTTCCGTGGCAGCAGGCACTGACTTCTGCACAGGGCCTGGTCCTGTGGTTGTTCACTGCGTTATCCAAGCAGTCATATCTGGGTCGCCCTTGGGCTGCGAGGCAGGTGCTGATCTTCCCTGCCCTTCCCCCAGCTGTTGACTTCTGGCCAGCGGCAGCTGCTCCTGTGTGAGACGCTGACGGAGACAGTGTATGGTGACCGTGGGCAGCTGATCAAGTCCAAGGAGCGCAGAGTCTTCCTGCTCAACGACATGCTGGTCTGTGCCAACATCAACTTCAAGTGAGTGGCCCCAGCCTGGGCGGCTTCCCCAAGCTTAGCCTGGTCTGTGACCAGTGCTTGGTGCTAGGAGGTCCCTGGAGAGGCCATCAGGGCAGCCCCAGTAGGTCACTGTCCTACACGCAGAGCTGTCCATTCTGCGATTCTGTGCTTGGTACCCAAAGCTCCCTGGGTTTTGACCATTTGGAAATTTCTAAGATTCTTCCCTGTGTTCAGTCCAAATCCCTGCTGCTTTCACACAAGTCCGGTTTCCTCTGCCCAGCTTGCTGGGTTTCTCCCCATAGCCCTCAGGAGCCTGGATCCCCAGCTATGGTCCGGAGGTTGTAGAGACACCCAGAACCAGGCTGTCGGGCTGGGCTCAGCCTGAGATTCCTGGAACCTGGGCTGGGGTGAGAGTGGCTCTTAGACCAGACAGTGGCCCGGGAGCTGCACTGGCTTCTGGGAATTTCCAGTTCTGCTTACGTAGGATGTTCATACCAAGGGTGAGACCCTTGGCCTCACCTGAATGTGGGGAGATCCAGTGTGCTGGGTGCACACTAACCTGGGCCACGAGGGCCTGGAGCTGGGGCTCCCACTCTGCCCTTCTCAGTGGCCCGTTCTGGCCCACTATTTTGTCCCCTGCTTGGTCCTGTTAGTGTCAGGGGTGTGGCCCTTTGAGAATTCCTGCTGTGACTATTCCAGTGGGCTCTGGGCAGAAGGTAAACAGGTTAAAAACATCCGGAAATAGAATTGTGGCAGTGATAGTGGCGCTCAGTGGGGGAAACACCATCCTCAGTGGAGGTTGAATGTTGGGCCCAGCCTCGATCTCCTGTCCTTGGGCTGGTTGGCCATGACTTGGTGGGGAGGTAGGTGAGGGGCATGCCGAGCTGGTAAAGACGCTGCACCCAGAATTGGGCCCCGCGCTCCTGTGCGTGGCCACCCAGTAGTTTTGGGGATCATCTGTGGTCAAGGACCAGGGTCCTGGCAGGGGAGCGGGCAGGACTGCATGGCCACATCCGCCACCGTCTACCTGCCTGCTGCTGCAGAGTATACGCAGGGCCCTTCCTCTGTGCCTGTGCACAGTCCTGGATGGCACCCAGCCCTGGGGGCACACGGGTGAGGGAGTCTTTGCCACAGACACCACCTGTGGCGGGCTCACTTCCTCATGTCTCTGGGACACTCTAGGGACAGTGCAGGGGCCATGGCATGATGACACCTCCCTGCCTGCATATGGCTCAGAGTCTAGCACGGTGTGCAGAGTTGGGGGCCAGTGGTTTAATTTTGGGGAATCTACTAGGTGATTTGGGCTGAGTCATGCGACCCGGCTGAGCATCAGTCTCCTTGTTTGGATCTTACAAGCTTTCTAGAAAGCTCTTATGAGAGGACATTCCGGGGGCAAGGACCTCTCTGAGGTCCCCTTTGTGTCCCATGGCCTCCGTTGTCATGATTGCATGAGAGCTGTCCCTCTTTCCACCCTGACATCCAGCCCTGTGGCCACCCAGGTGGTCTCAGCACCCACAGGAATTCTTTGAACTCAGTAACAACCTTCCTTCCCTTCTGTCTTTTCCCCCAGGCCTGCCAACCACAGGTAGGAGGTTTGGGGGCTCAGGGGCTGGAGGGGTGTGATTCTGTTTCTGGGCTGGGCCTGGGCACCCTGGTGCTGATGCCCTGGCAAGGGCTCCCTGCTCCTCCTGGCTGGGAAGTGGCCTGAGGGCTGGTGCTTGGGCTGCGTGAAGCCTGGCTGAGCTGGTGTGCTGAGGTGCTGGACTGCGGTGCACGGATGTGGGGCTCTGCTGGCTCCAGGCACGCTGTGGCGGCTCTCCAGGGCTCGTCCTCTCTGTCCCCACAGGGGCCAGCTGGAGATCAGCAGCCTGGTGCCCTTGGGCCCCAAGTACGTGGTAAAGTGGAACACAGCGCTGCCCCAGGTACAGGTGGTGGAGGTGGGCCAGGACGGCGGTGCCTACGACAAGGACAACGTGCTCATCCAGCACTCGGGCGCCAAGAAGGCCTCCGCCTCAGGCCAGGCCCAGAGTGAGTACCCACCCTGGCCCCCACCGCCCTGCGCCACCTGTCACAGCCCAGCCAGGGCCCTGCGGGCTTGCTGGGTCCCAGGCTGCACCCTTTCAGTGTCGTCTGGGGGTGCCCACCTGTGCAAACCTTGCACGCAAAGCACGTGTGCCCACACAGGACCGGGTGGCAGGGGTGACTTCCGCGTCCTGCCTGGCCTTTGCTGCTCCTGGGGCCCCTGAGGTGTGCCCCCTGGATACGTCAGTGCACTCCTTGTATGGTGAGGGCCAGGAGACATACCTCTGTCCTCGGGGCCCCCCAAGGACCAGGCTCAGTGCCCTCTGCACCCCCTGGGCCTTCATCTCCTGATCGTGTGCCTCAGACGTGGTCGTTTGGGGGGAGCGGGACCTCTCATCCAAGGCGCCTGCCTGCCAGTGCCTTTCAGTCTGCTGTTGGTCCTCGGCCTCCGTGTTGACCTGAATCTTGGTGCCCTGGGCCTCTGGGGCTCAGTCCTGGCTTTTTTCCCTCCCCCACCTTTGTCCCCTTCCTGTCCCTCTGTTGTCCCCACAACACAGGTGGGGACAACAAGCTGGCTCTTGAAAATGCCCATCAGTGCTGTGTGTCGCCCACCTCTTGTTGGCCCCAGGGGCCTCTTGTTGCTCTTTGGTAGAGGTCCTTGGCCTGCCCTGGGGACCCCGTCTGCACCCCACTTTCCTCCCCGGCCTCTGGGTTCCTGGGTGGCTGTGCTCCTCTTGTACCCGTGTCTTTGTCCTATGAGCCCTTACTGTCCATCCTCCTCTGAGCAGCATTGTGCTGGCTCCGTGCTCAGGGATGGGATGGGTTCCCTTCCGAGAGTGAACAGGGTGACATCAGCCTCGGCCAGAGGCTGGGGTGAAAGGATGCCACTGTGCAGGGCTGGCAGGTGGGGGCGCAGTGTCCAGGGCACCGTCTCAGTGTGGGAGATGTTGGGGTTCCCTTCCCTGCTCCCCGCTCTGCATCTGCCTGACCCAGGCTGCTGCTGCAATGCTGGGCACCCTGGGAGCCCTCAGTGCCACCTCCAAATATGAAAGGGCTTCCTGGGGGATACCCACAGACTTGAACCTCTTCTCTGGCCCACTGTGAGGTGTTGCTGTGGGCTCCTGCCCTGCCCCCGTTTCTTACACTAGAGCCTGTGCCCTGGCCACCCTTGGAAGGGAGGGGAGGTTCTGCTGAACCCCGGTTGGCCCGGCTGGGTTTTGGTTATATTGTTATTCAAATATGTACAAATATGAAGCTCTGTGTAATCAGCGTCTCATGCTTATAGCCCTCGAACAACTATAAAACCAAAGCAAAATCACAAATTGAATAAAAATAAAGCCGCAAAATAATAAAGTTCCCATTAAGAGCATTAATTTAAGGTGACGGATGACAGTTGTACCGAAGCCAAATCGCTCACAGTAAGGGCGTCTCGCTCCGACAGCCCAGGGTCCTGCCGGGGCCGAGCCCACCCCACTGGGCACCTTATGTGAGCCACATCCCCCACCTGTGCCCCCACTGGGGTCCCACAGAGCCTCTCCTTGCCAGATGTTTGATGTCAGTGTGTCCTTGACCTCCCAAACCCAGCCAGCTCTTTGCTGGTTACCTGGCAACCAGCTCCAGTGGCCCCACACCAAGTCCCTGAAGCCCTGACACCACGCAGCAGGATGGGGCTTCACAGTCAGCATATCTGGGGAGAGGACACACAGGCTACGCACCTGCTTTTCAGATAATGGCTTGAATGAATGAAACGTCTCCTCCTCCCCTGGGACTCCACAAGACTCAGCCATGACCACTAAATACAGCTGGTTCTCCCCCACCTGCTCCCACCAGCCATTCCGGCCCCATCTCTCCGGCCACTCGGAATGACGTAGTGTTCACTGAGTTCCATAGGCCACGGTGCCTTTGCACATGCTGTTCTTTACCTTGGTCATGCGAATCACACTCCTGGCCCTGTGCGGGTTCCTCGGCTGTCCTGGGTGCAGCTCAGTCTTGGTCAGATGGTTATCTTGGGCCCTCTGTACAGACTGAGCACTGCCCCATCCCCGTGTTAGACTTTCTTTTCCCAGCCAGCCTGTGTGCTCCATCAGGTAAACCCCAAGCACATCCCCTTCCATGTCCCCTGTACCATTTCCCCAGAGTGACTGCTGTTATTTTTTACTGTGAGCAGATGCTTGGCTCCGTGGTGGGGCCTTCCGCACCGCGAGGCTGAGCTGGGTCTCTTCTCTCCCTAGACAAGGTGTACCTGGGTCCCCCGCGCCTCTTCCAGGAGCTGCAGGACCTGCAGAAGGACCTGGCCGTGGTGGAGCAGATAACGTTGCTGGTCAGCACGCTGCATGGCACCTACCAGGTAGGTTCTGGGGCCCTGATCCCCTGGGCGCCCAGGCTTAGCTCTCAGAAGTCCGGTGTGTGACCTCTGGCTTGGGTTGAGCAGGCGGGGCTGTGGGGTGCACAGTGGCCTGGGCCTGGCTGGGAGGACAGGTCCCCTTGGAAGGGGGCTGCTGCCTAGGCTCTAGCCCTGGACCCCGGGGCCGGGGATCTAGGAACCTGGTGGCAGTGGACTTCCTGGTGTGGCTTAGGAATGGGCTCCTCCCCCTTGGCTCTCCCCTGTGGGCACTGTGATCGCTGTGGGGTCTCTGTGCAGTGACCTCCTCGGCTCCCCACCTAGAACCTGAACATGACGGTGGCTCAGGACTGGTGCCTGGCGCTGCAGAGGCTGCTGCGGGTGAAGGAGGAGGAGATCCACTCGGCCAACAAGTGCCGCCTCCGACTGCTGCTTCCCGGGAAGCCCGACAAGTGAGGACCTCCGCGTGGGGGCTGCTGATGGAGTGGGAGCCTCAGAGAGGATGAGGGAGCCCCCCGTGTGTCCGGAGTGCTGTGACAGGGTGGGAATGTGCCCACTGTGCTCCGGGCAGGTGCACAGTAGGCGCTCACGGAAAGACTGCGGTGAGGGGAGGAGTGGACAGTGCCCTGTGGTGCCCTGGGTCAGCCTGCGCCTCCGCTAGGGGCTCAGACTCCGCCGTGGGCTAGTTCACTTGTGCCCTGTCCTTTTGCTCATACCAGGCCACAGTCCCCTGTCCTCTCCTCAGCCCTGGCATTTTTGGGTCCCCGAAGTGCCCACCGCAGGAGCCTTGGTGGGGGCTGCATCCCTACGGCCCCTCTCTGTGCTCCGTCCTCCTCGGCACCCCAGAGGGACACTGCCCTGCCACCTACTTGGGGACCAATTGGAGAACCGGCCCCAGGGGCCCTGGGGATCCACGGGGACTCCCACTGCTCTGAGATGAGACCCCTGAGTGACCCACCCATTGGTTCCTTCATTCAGTCCCGCATCCACTCAGCACACAGGGCACAGCCGCACCACGCCAGGTGCAGGGGGGAGAGTGAGGAACAGCCATCCCCCGCCGAGACCACGGTCATCTCATGGGGCCTTGGGAGCCCGGCCGGGTGGAGCTGCAGCCCTCAGAGGTCTGCCAGGCACGGAGCCCAGCTCACAGAGGGCAGAGGAGGCCTCTGCCAGAGCCTTACCAGGCTGCTGGCATTGGGGCTCTGAGCAATGCTCTCTGTCCCCGGGACACAGGACCAGTGTCCACCCTCACGTCCCCACCCCTCACCCTGCTCGCCGCAGGTCTGGCCGCCCCATCAGCTTCATGGTGGTCTTCATCACCCCCAACCCCCTGAGCAAGATTTCCTGGGTCAACAGGCTGCATTTGGCCAAGATTGGACTCCGTGAGTACAGCGCCAGTGCGGGGTCCAGGGGTGGGCTTGTGGGGTGTTTGGGGCCAGCGGGCAGCAGGTTTCTGAGCTAAGGAGGGGGCGTGGTGGAGGAGCCACACATCCGGAATCCTGAGGCTCTGCTTTGTGACCTTGGAGTAGTCACTTCCCCTCCCTGAGCCTCAGTTTCCCCACCTGTGCATTTGAAACTTGACAGAAAGTAAATGAGTGGGCACCAGGGACCTGGGAGAGAGGGATGAGTTACTGTGAAGCTGTAAAAGTTTACTGTGTACTGTAAAATGTCCTGGAGTCGCCTGCCCCGAGTAGGCGAGGAACCAGCGGGGCGTGGGCCTTTGTGGTCACTGAATTCTATCTCAGTAAAGTGGTCACCTCCTAATTTCAAATGAGCCGGATTGGACTCAGCTGATTCTCAGTAACCCTGAGGTTGGTCTGCTGTGAACCCCTTTTTGCCATCTGGGATTCTGAGGCCCAGGAAGGTGCATGGACTTGTGTGAGGTCACACAGCAGGGGGGCACATGGTCATCTGGACCTGGGCCCTGACTCCGCCCTGCTACCCAGGAGGGCCTGTCTGCCGGTCACGTTCATTGCATGACCACCGCTGCTCCTGGGGTGGTCACTGTCAGGGTCACTGACATTGTCCAGTTCTTGAATCGCTGAGAGGGCTGCGCTCTGACAGCCAGTGCCGTCCCGTGATGCCCTGGGCTTCCCATCTGCTGATTCCCCCCAGGAGGGGCCACCTTTTGTTTTTGTCTCTGTTTCTGGTGCGATCTTTTCATAGATAATTATATATCTCCAGTAGGTTTTTAAACATTTCTGGAAAGAAGTCAGGACCTTTATTGCTGGCTTTCATTAAGTTAAAAACCTGCTTATTGAGTCTCTGCAGTAATTTGCAGTGTGGGGGATCAATGACAAGACCCCAGAGGGTCTGGCTCTCCGGGAGCATCAATTGATGAGGGTCAGGTGGAGGTTAAATGTGGGGATCGGCTGTGCTGTGAAGAGGGTAGATTGGGGCTACGTGGCTGTGACTGAGCCTGCTGGGGCAGGGGTGCTGTGGGAGGCCTCGCTGAAACCATCTTCACTGAGCCAGGCAAAGATCTAGGCAAAGTGATTCAGGAAGGGGAACTGTGAGTGCAAAGGTCCTGGGGTGAGGACAGAAAGCTGACTAGTGCCAGGGCTCTGGTGTGTCCACAAAGCCAGGAGAAGGAGGTGCCAGGCCACCTCTGGAGGGTGGAGAAAGGGTTTTAAGCAATTCGGAGGATTGGGAGACTTCTGGCTCCAATGGCTTCCCTGCTGGGCCTCGGAGCCTCTTCTCTGCCTGAGCTGCCATGAGCAGGTGCCCAGCCCGCCCTAACCTGTTCTCCAGGTGGGCAGTGCCCTGTTGGACCCCAGGCAGCTGTGTCCAGTGAGGCCTGGCACCGAGGGCGGGCACTCCCGGCAGAGGGCGCGGCTGCTATGGGAGTGGAGCCGCCTGATCTTGTGCAGTTTCACTGCAGTGAAAGTTTTAATGGCAGGAGAATCATTTGAAGTCTTGTTTGAATGCCTGTATCCCCCTGGGGCTTGAATAATTTGTTCCTTTATTTTGCCACATTTTTTTTTAATCCGCAGTGCCGGGGGTGGGGCGTAATAGGAGCCCGTTAGAGACAGAGTGTGTTAAAGTCACGTTTTCAGTGAGGATGTTCTCCCCTGTCTTCCCCGTTCCCTGACCACAGTGTGACCCACGGAAGAGGTCAGGTCGGGAACCCCTGGGCTCCCCTTTTGTGTGCCCAGAACAAGGCTGCACACCCCTGACCCCTGGAGGGCCCAGTGGGCCCCTGGAGCCTCCCTTGGCCCAGTGCTGCTTCTTCCCACCTCCCGAGGGGCCAAGGGTCACCCCCAGGGTTGCTCCAGCGAGATGCAGGGCTGGGGAGCCTCCCTGATGGGGTTTGACTTTCCAGCCCTTGGTCTTCACGGTAAGACCTGTGCTCACCCATTGATGGGTCAGCTGCTGGCTTCTGGTGTTGGCCTGGGCCATGCAAGCTCCTAAACAACCTCCTCCTCCTCCCCCTCCTCCTCCTCCTCCTCCCCCTCCTTCTCCTCCTCCTCCTCTTCTTCCTTTTACAGTACTGGACATTGAACTCAGGGCGTATTTCCTGAGCTCCATCCCCAGCCCTGTTCCCCACTCCATCATTTGAGACAGTTTTGCTAGGGTTGCTGAGTTCCCTGACGTGGGCTTGAACTCGAGACCCTCCTGCCTCAGCCTCCTAGCGTGCTGGGGTGGTGTGTACCATCCTTGCAGTTTCGTCTTCCCTTGGGACCGTCTCTGGGTTGGTGCTGGGATTTGCCCAGGCCCGGGGCTGGCGGTGCTGGTACTGCTCTCACAGGGGTGAAGCTGGCTGTGGAACCAGACCCCGGTTTACCCACTGGCAGACTGTGGCCTTGATGTGGCTGCCTGGACAGCACCGGGGCCTCTCGGGATGGGGTGGGGGTGGGGACACTTGCTGAGGCTCTGCCAGGCTTGGCATCAGCACAGCCTCTGGGTGGTGCTGGGGAGGGAGGCGGGGCCTGCAGGCCACCTCTGCTGGGGGATTCTGAGCAGAGCCTACAGGGGCAGCCATGACAGGAGAGGGACGGTACCACCTGAGCTCCGTGGGCTGGGAGGCAGGGTGGGAGGTGGGCTCAGCCAGCCTCTGGTCCTGAGGGGCATTCTGTGGACAGCAAGGATGATGACCACAGTGGCCACTGTCTCTTGAGGGCTTAGCATGTGCCAGGCCTTGCAGATACTTGGTTCAGTACTCACAGCTCCAAATAGGATCATTTCCCCATGCTCTCAGCAAGGCAACCGACTCAGAGAGGTTAAGTGCCTGGTTGCGCGTCACACAGCGATGCAGAGTCTGGGTTAGGACTTACGGAGAACCCTTCCGAGCGTGGCAGTGCAGGATGCGGGGTGCGGGATAAGCCCGTTTACCGTCACTCAGAGATCACGGCTGTGCCGTGGGTGCCAGTTCTTAATGTCACCCATCCCAAGCGGGCTTTTAATTTATTAGCGGCTGCAGCTCCTCATTTGGTCTCAGCCGCGCTGGCTCTGTGATGGGAACGGTGGCGGTGGCAGATGGGGAGCAACGACTTCATTTTCTTTTAACGTTCCTGGTTGCAGGCAGGGAAGGCACCATCTGGAAGGAGAAGGTCAGATCGTTAAAATATATATATGATAATAAATCGCCCGAGCCGGGCGGCGGCGGTGGGCGGGAGGAGAAGGAAATGTGCAGCCGGCCACCCAGGAGCCTGCGGGACGGGGTTGGCAGGAGCAGCGGCCGGCCGGGCAGGGGTGGCGGGGTGGTAAGTTCTTGCGGGCAGGGGCCTTCCTTTGACTTCTTGCTTTTGTTTGCCCAGCATAGCACGGGGTGGACTTATCCCTACCCCCACCCTGGGTGACCGTGAGGACGAATGGGGACCACGTGCCCTGAAGTACAGGCCGGGGGGCTCTGTTTATGGTGACATCCGCCCTGTGCTGGGCTGTCCTTGCCCTGATGGCCTCCTCAGCCTCAGCCTATACCGTTTCCCTTTCCTGTGGCAGGGGTCAGATTTCATGGCCACCTCCGGCTCACGTTGCAGGGAGTGCATCAGTGCTTGGGGACTCAGTACAGCTGACACTGCTACGTCTCTGTTGGCCATCAAATCCACACTGCCCCTTGCCCAGCCCCTCTGGGAAGCAGACACTCAGAAGCCACCTTCCACAGCAGTGGCATTTCTCAGGTGCCCTCGTAGTGACCACTGCCCACACGTGTCCACCCCTTCTCTGTTGGAGCTGGCAGCATCTGGTTAATGAGATCCCAAGACACAGCAATGGGTACAGTGGTCGCACCAGCAGACTGAGGCTCTGGGAGGAGAGGCTGCTGGTGTGCCAGGTTTATTGGTGCAGCGCTGCACGAGCAGGGAGGATGTTGGTAGGAAATGGGGTGGGAGGTTTGGCCTTCAGGGAGACTGTTGTGGCAGAGGAGCCCCTGCTTCCACACACACTTAAACCATTTGCACGTGTGTGTGCTCACACAAAGGAAAAAAAGACAAGCTAACCAAGATCGTGGAGAATACAGATGCTCCTTGGTTTCTGATTGGGTGAAGTCCCAGAAAACCCACTGTAAGTCAGAAATGTCATAAATGGAAAATGCATTTATTATATACAACCTACCAAACGTTGTGGTCATGTCTTGCGCACCGTCAGCATGACAAGAACACATCCAGTAAGCAGCCTAGAGTTAGGCAGAAGCGAGGCACACAATGCCTGTTTCATAGCAGTGTGGCGTAGCTCACTGATACTTTTAGATGGGGCTTTTGTACCCATGATGGGATCTCAAAACTCAAAGCATGACAATGAAAATCCCCAGTACGAGCACCCTGCTGGCCTTGGTAATCAGTGCCAGGCGAGAGGACTCAACCACCACGTATCTGTAGCCTGGGGGAGAAGCAGACTTCCCAGCGCAGGGTCAGCTGAATACACGTGGCTCCCACCCCATCGTGACACTGGAAACTCCTAAGTTGAACCTGCACTCGGGTGTCACTGGGCCAAGTCGCATCCCATTCGGAGGACCTGTCTGGTGACTCTGGCTCTCGGGTAGAGCTTCAGGCTGTGTCCTACCTGACATCACCGTGACAGCAGCATCACTGGGCACGATGGCTGCAGGTTTAGTGCACAGAACTGGTCCTGGGTGTCCGGCAGGCCTAGGTCCCCGTCTGGGCTCTGACACCTGCTATTATTGTGCCCTAGTCATGTCCCCTGGTCTCTGCTGGTCAGCCTCACCCCCTGTACGGTGAAAATAATTATCCTGCAAAGATTGAGCCAAGGAGTGGATCTGCAACCCTCCTCGGGTTACCTGATGTGTGGCACCCAGTAGGTGGTGGCTCTGTCACACCTATGCAGCAGTCCTTGTGGCAAATAAAGAGGGGGGTCCTCGCAGGCAGGACCCCTGGGGACAGATGGTGGCTTAGTCCTCCTTGCTGTCTTTCATTCATTCATGTCTGCTGAGCGTGTGTGAGGTACCAAGCAGTGTGCCAGGTGCTGGGGACAGTGGTGAAGGGGACAGCCCCTGCTGACTATGACGAGCATCCCAGAGTCTCATGGGGGCAGACCCTGAGAAACAGAGGCTGGGTGATTTTGGATTCCTCTCTGAGGCCCCACAGGAAGCAAGGCAGGGTGTCCAGAATGGTTCCTGGGAGAAGGAGGCTGCCACAGCCAGGTGGTCAGGGAGGACTTCCTGGAGGAGGCCACGTGTACACAAAGGGTCTGGCATAGCGTGGTTTAGCAGAGGCTGCCCTGGGCTCGGGCACAGGCGTCTGTGCTTCTGCCAGGTTCACGGGGACACATGACGCCCTGGGCTTCAGGATAGCTTTGGAGGAGGCAGTGATCCTCTTTCATCCTCATGAGGATCAGTGACAGCTGTGTCATCACGGTCAGGGTCATCCCAGCCATCTGCTGGTCTGTGGTCTGCTCGTCCATCTAGAGACCACATTCAAGGCCCCGGGACCTGGAATCAACCCAGGTCACCTTGGCTATTTCTTGCAGTGATCGCAGGACAGGCGTTTCTACATGAGTGATCCTACTCCTACTCTGACAGGAGAAACTGAGGCTTACAGAGTTGGGGTGACCCATAAGGCTGCTCAAGGAGGGGGGCTAGGCTCAGGTTCCAATCCTAGGTGTCCTGGCTCCCAGCCTAGGTTCACGCCAAGCCCATGGAGTGAGGCTTAGTTTCGTGTCTGATGGTCAAGGGTGTGGGTCGGGGAGCGACTGGGGCTGTCTGCGTCACCCTGGGACAGACTGGGCCTTTGGGGGCTGCGGTGACCCCACCCTGGGCCGGATGGCTGCTCTCTGCCGGGTTGGTCACCAGTCTCTGACCAGCTTCCCCTGCACCCTGCCTCTTGCTGTAGGGGAGGAGAACCAGCCAGGCTGGCTGTGTCCGGACGAGGACAGGAAGAGCAAAGCCCCATTCTGGTGCCCGATCCTGGCCTGCTGCGTCCCTGCCTTCTCCTCCCGGGCCCTCAACCTGCAGGTGAGTGGACTCATGTAAAGGTGGCAGTGTCCCTCATCGGGGGGAATCGGTTTGCAGGTGGTGCCCACAGCAACTGGGACGGCCCAGGTTGTGATGGCAGCTTGTCGCTTGCTTACTGACAGCAAGCCAGTGAGTCAGGGCTTTCTGTGGCTCCTGCGTTAGTTTCCCCACCAAAATAACTGGGGGGAGGAGAGGCGGTGAATGACCAGCATGGGTCACATGAGTGGAAAATTCCATTATTTTGAGGCGATAAGTAGCAATGATCTCATCGGTCAGTGGCCCGACTGCAGAGGATGCCGAAGTGGCTGTACCAGACATTGCGGGTTGGACCCTTTACCAGGCTGCCAGGCTGGGGCTGGCTTTGGCACAGGGCCCGCCTCGAGCCTCTGTCTGTGGAGCACCCACTGCGCTCCGCCCCGGTGTCTTTCCCTTGTCCTAATATTTAAAATAACTCCATGGGCAGATGTTTCGATAGCTGTTTTAAGGATTAGGAAGCGAAGGTTCAGAAAGGTGACCTGATTTTCCAGATAGGAAAGCTCAGTCCCCTCTGGTCGTCTGTCCCTTATGTCCTGGCAGAGCTCACCTTCCGTCTGGAGCAGCTGTTGTCCATCGTCTCCCAAACAGATGAGGACATCTCAGCTCTGGGGACGGGAGAGCGAGCGTGGGACGCAGGCCAGATAAATAGTCCCGGGAGACTTCCGCTGGGTGTAGACTGGGGCTCTAAACAGCTGAAAGAAATGTCCTTGAGATGTAAGTTCGTTCGTTCATTTATTCATTTGTCCATTAACATATAATTTTGGGGCACCTACTGCGTGCCAGGCACTGGGATCACAGTGGCAACTAAGACACACAAGGTCACTGCTCATGGGGATTTCAGTCTAGTAACAGGGACAGACTATAACCCAGTTGACAAAAGGAATTGGAAATAGTGATGCTATAAGAATACAAACCAGTGACACAGACACGGGCCTCCACAGAGCTGGGAGCATCCCAGAGGGCTCCTCGGAGGAGTTGGCATTTTATTGAGATCCAAATGGCAGGAAGGACCCAGGGAGGGCCCTGGGGAACAATGTTCTAAGGAGACAGATCTATTGGAGGCTGATGTCACTGCAGTCAGGGAAACCAGCGTGGACTCCCTTGTTTAGCTGGGGGATGTTTTAGTCTGTTTTCTGTTGCTATGATAGAATGCTTGAAACCAGGTACCTTGTAAAGAATAAAAGTTTCGGGGGCTGGGGATTTAGCTCGGCGGCATAAGCGCCTGCCTTGCAAGCAGGCAGTCGTGAGTTCGATCCCCGGTACCGATAAAAATGAAAAAGACAAAAAAAAAAAAAAAAAAAAGAAAGAATAAAAGTTGCTTTGGCTCATGGTTCTGGAGGCTGGAAGTCTGCAGTATGCACTGGCATCGGGAGAGAGTCTCACACTGTATTACTCCGGGGGGAAGGCAGACAGGCAGGACAGATTTCTCGTCAGGTACCCACTGCCAGGATACCACCCTAACCCGTGTGTGAGGAGCGGAACCCCCATGGCCTAATTCTCTCTTAAGGACCCCATTTTCAATGCTATTGGAAGTCCAGCCTCAGTGTGAGTTTCAGAGGGGACCCTCACACCATAGCAGTGGGCAGGGAGGTCAGCGGGGAGGCCAGCTCAGCTGGACACAGCAGTCCCGCCAGCTTGGATTGACTTCTCAGAGCTGTAAAAAGCCCTGGTGCTCTGAGCCCAGGGCCAGCGCTGCCTGATGTACACGCTGAATCCTGTGGCTCCTTCTGGCTGTTGTGTAACAGCAAACTAGATAAGAAAGGGGCGAGGTGGCTGATAAGGGACAGGTCCTGAGGGTAGCGCGGGGGACATGCTGTGACGTCTTGTCCAGAGCAGGAGGTGGAGGCTAAGGCTGGGGTTGCCCCTGCCTGTGACATGCCTGGCCTTAGTGCATCTGCGGAAGAGGCGGATCCTAGGTGACGTCCGTAGCAGAGAGGGGCTTGGGTCCTTGCGCAGATGGGACAGGTCAACCCTGGGCAGTGGGCTCACAGACACTGCTGCCCCCAGGGCTTCCCCAAAAGGGCCCCACCTAGGTGGGAGCCATCTCTGCTACCTTGAACCAGGGGATGAGGGCCACGTGTCTCCTCCCCACGTGGTGCTCTGGGGGCTCAGGGGCACTAGGCTGACAGCATCTTCCTCCCTCCCCGGGCCTCTGGCTCAGTGTCTCCTGAGGAGCCCCTGTGCTGGTGGAGGAATTGAGCAGGAATCTGCAATTAGTAGGCCTTCATTGCTACTGGGGGACATAGCGAGTCTGCCCAGACCCATCTCCGGGTCCCGAGACACCACTTCGGCTCCTCTGTACCCGCCTCCATCGCCAGGCCAGACAGATGTGCCCCAGCAGCAGCCAGAGGCATCAGGGCCTGGAGTGCCAGGGCCCGGTCCAGTTACTGCAGGAGCAGATGTGAGGGTGTGGGCTGCTGCTTGGGCCTCCCTCCCGCCCAGCGCCAGCTCCCAGGTGGCCCGGTGGAGCCAGCAGCTGAGCCTGTTTCTCTGGGAAGACTGTGTGGCCCAGCCCTTTCCCAGTGCAGACAGGACAGGCCCCTGCCCTCTGGCTAGGGTATGTGCAGGGACCAGGGTGCTGGGGTGGGAGGAGGAGCAGCGGGTGACTTCTCAGTGCGGGTGGGTGTTGTGCCCATGCCCACGGTGCCAGGCTTTAGGAATTGGTGGTGGAAGTGGAGAAAGTATCAACAGGGATCCCTGGTAAGACGCAGGGGAGGTGGCGGGGTCACCCATGGGCTCAGGTCAGTCTCAGGCCTGTCTGGGCACATGCTGGTGAATGCAGAGACACTGTCTTCTCTGGGGCACCTGCAGACCCAAGTGTCCATGGCGGGGATGGAGGGGACGTAGCTTTGATCAGCAGAGAGCCTGTGGCCAGGCTGCTCAGGACCCAGCTCTCAGCCCAGCAGCCTCTGTGCTGATTGACATTGGCCTCCGTTAGCCAAAACTGCCATTGGTGGGTGTCTTAGTCTATTTGCTGTCATGATAACAAAGTACTGCAGGCTGGGTACCTTATACAGAAGGAGGGTTGATTTAGCTCACAGTTTTAGAGGCCAAAAATCCAAAATCAAGCAGCCTCAGGTGAAGTCTAGGGGTAATGGCATTGTAAGAGTGGGAGCCATCACATGGCCAGACAGAAAGGCGGGGAGATTCGGGGGCCAGGCAAGCTGTTTCTGTAACAGCTCACTCTCGGGAATTAACTGGGGTGTACGAGAATTATACTTAGTTCACCCGAGACTAATCTTAACCACTTCCCTATACGCGCCAGCTTTAAACATCCCCCCACCTCAGCACAGCCAGCCTGAGATCCGAGCTTCCAATTCAGACAGTCATGTGTGCCCCAGGGTTGTGGGTGCCACCTTGCTAGCAGCAGTTGCTTATCTGTGATGCCCTCCACGGTGTTACTCTGCTGATTAAATGGCTCAGGGTAAGCCGGGCGTGGTGGCTCATGCCTGTAATCCCAGCACTCCGGAGGCTGAGGCAGAAAGATCCTTTCGAGGTCGAGACCAGCCTTTGCTACAAAGTGAGCTCAAGGCCAGCCTGAACTGCATAGCGAGACCCCGTCTCAAAAAAGACTAAATAAATAAATAAATAAATAAATAAATAAATAAATAAATGGCTCAGGATGTGAAGAGCTGGAACACCCCAGCAGAGCCCCCGTAAGCCTTAGCAGCTGCTGGTGCCAGGTGTCCAGCTCTGTGCATGGAGATGCCAGAGTGCCCGCTTTGTATGTGGGAGGCTGATTTACTTGTGACCAGAGCTGTAGCCCCTAAGCTGGGGTTGGAACCCAGCTTGGCTGCGTCTGAAGTCGGGTTGTTTTCTTTCTCCTGCTCACACACCGTCTTATGTCCCACTCAGGTGTCGTGAAGCCAGCTTTCTGGCACAGGCTAAAATCTAAGGACTCAGCTCCCAGTCCAGCAGCCTCGGGTCCAGGGCCTTGCGATTCAGGGCCATTTGTGTTTTTGCATCATCTTGGATCTGGCTCCCTTGGCTCAGCTGACATCAGGGCCCACTGGAGTTGCCATGGAAATGTCTGAGCCAGGCTGCAGGGGGGCCTCCCTCCTCTGAGGAGAGGAGTGCCAGCCTGGCAGGAGGGCGGACATCCTCCCCTGCTGTGGCCACCAAGGAGCAAAACAGACAGAAAACCCAGGAGGCCAGGGCTAGGGACGGCTTCTGCTCAGGGTGTGAGGACCCTTGTCACCAGTGGGACTCCAGAGTGCTGAGACTTCTGACATGGTGCCTGGTTTAGAAGGAGCACCAGACCAGGAAGGAACAGTTTGAATGCTAACCCTGCCTTTGCCCCCAACTTGCAGTGTGACCTTGAACCTCTAATGTCCCCCACGGAGCTTCAAGTTGGCCACCTGCTACACGAGGAGGCTGGTTGAGGTGACATGTTTGGGTCATGGCCCGTGGCCTGTAGAGATTTTGTCAGACTCTCCCCACGGAGCTGGGCCGGCCAGGGCCAGCAGCACCAGTAGAGGGCAGCATGAGCCCGAGAAAGGCCCACCGCGGGGCTTTCCTCCCTCCAGCACCCAGCTGCACGCTCTGTCCTCACTGCCGCCCTGGCCAGAGACACAGACTGGCCAGGTCCAGCTCAGGGAGCAGAGGCTGCCCAGTGTGGGACATGCGGCAGCAGGTGCAGGAGAAGGTCAAAGCAGCTGGTGACAGATGGAACCCCTTGCCTCTGGGTGCCCTTGGCCCTCTGGTCTTGGTGGGCTGCTCTGCAGAAGCTCTGGTATCAAGGTGTCATTCTTGGAGGAATGTAGGGGGCTAAAGAAGGAAGACATGCAGGCTGCGTCCTGTCATTCATGTCTCCTGTGGCCAACGACAGTGTCCTGCCCTCGGTGGACCTCATCTCCACTGGCAAAAATGAGAGGGGGTGGCTCGGTGGCTTCCGAGAAACCTTATTCGGAAGCTACTGGTCTCAGACAGCCTGGGCTGACTCAGAGCATCATTCAGGCCCCTTCCGGCCAGACCCTCTAGAAGAACGATGACCACATATGTGGTGTAAGGACCGTCCTGGCCCCGCTCTCGGGGGTTCTCCTGGGAGGGCCTCACGGATAGCTCTTCCCTGTCTCTGCAGCTTGGGGCCCTGGTCCACAGTCCTGTCAACTGTCCCTTGCTGGGCTTCTCCGCAGTGAGCACGTCCCTTCCACAGGGCTACCTCTGGGTGAGTAGACCCTGCGCCTGGTACGGATTGCAGCCTCAGGACAGGAGCAGGGAGGGTGGCACCCAGGAGGGGTGCTGCAGAAAGGGACCATCCTGCCTAATGGATGCTGCCTGCCGAGCAGCGTCAGCTGTCCGTCCGGGTCTTCCTGGGAACCTCGGTGCCGGCCGTGGTGCCGGGGGCAGCCTCACCTGGGACAACTGAGTAGGACTTGTGCGCGTGGCCACAGTGCCAGGAAGGACAAGGCCAGGGGGCTGTGCAGAGCACCTGGGTCACAGTCTTCACCCAGAGCTCAGGCAGTAGGGCCGGCCACTGCTCCTCTCCTGTAGAGATTCCAGCTGGCTGCTTCTGCCTCCAGGCTCCGGGAGGCCCTTCTCAATTCAGAGGAGCCCCCCACCCAGTGCTCTTCATGATGCAGATTGTGCCCTTCCAACATCAGTGTCCCCTGCCCATGCTCTATGCCTCCTGTGTACTCCTGTAGCCGGGCACTTGGCAGCAAAACTCTGGCTTACCCCTCAGAGTTCAGCCCCAGGGTCTCTGCTGGGATGGGTTTGCTCCTTGCTGTTCCCTCATTGCCTAGCACATGGTGTTTCTACCCATCTGAGCGTGCTGCATCCATCCATCCATCCATCCACCCACCTCCTATTTATTCATCTTCCTGTCTGCTCATTTATCTACCCACCCATGCATCTACAATCCATCCATCTAGCCACACATCCATGCATCCATGTATCCATCCATCCATCCATCCATCCATCCATCCATCTCTATCCAGCTGTCTATCTATGCATCCATCTACATATCCATGCACCGGTGAAATCATTTCTTTTTCTTTTTCTTTTTTTTGTCTTTTTTTGAGATGGGGTCTCGCTGTGCAGTTCAGGCTGGCCTTGAACTCACTTTGTAGCCCAGGCTGGTTTCGAACTCGAAAGGATCCTCCCACTTCAGCCTCCCGAGTGCCGGGATTACAGGCATGAACCACCGTGCCCAGCTCCCTGCGGCACTGGGGATTGAACTCAACCTCCCGCTGGCCAGGCAGGCGCTTATGCCGCTGAGCTAAATCCTCAGCCCATGTAATCATTTCTTCATCCATCTCCATTCATCCATCTGTCTCATCCACATATCCATCTACTCACCCATCCACACATCCATATATCTGTCCATCCATCCATCCGTTAAATCTTTTCATCTATGCGTCTGCCTATCTATACAAAAAAATACATTGAGGCACACCATGTTTTGGATATAAGGATAAAACACTGAATAAGACAGAAAGTCATTTTGAAGGGACAGAGTAATGGGTCTCTAGACCTTGTTTGAAATGCCCCTACAGAGGAGGACCTAGACAGCTGGTTGGGCGTCTCATCTACATTAGCTCCCCATCTGATTTCCTTCGATCCCTGAAGCCAGTTTTGTAGCCATAAAGCTGGGGACTTGTGACCTTTGCCGTCACAGGATGTGTGTGGGCAGGAGAGGGGACATTGCTGTCAATATCTAACGCCTACTGGGAAGGTAGGACTGAGCTCCCCTCTGCTGCATGGTCTTCCCCGATGACCTCTCTGGATCTCTGTTCCCAGGTCGGGGGAGGACAGGAGGGTGCAGGGGGCCAGGTGGAGATCTTCTCCCTGAACCGGCCCTCCCCGCGCACCGTCAAGTCCTTCCCGCTGGCGGCCGCCGTGCTCTGCATGGAGTACATTCCGGAGCCGGAGGAGGACCCAGAGGGCGGAGATGAGAGCCAAGTGGCTGCTGACCCCACTGCAGGGACGGTGCATCCCACCATCTGCCTCGGGCTCCAGGATGGCAGGTGAGGGCCAGATGAGTGGGGTGGGAGCCATCCCTCACTTTTGCTGAGTTGCCGGCCACCCATTGATGTTCTTTGTCCCTGGTTGGGTGTCATCAAAAAGATGGGGACCAGAGGCGGCCAGTGTGGGAGTCAGTATCAGGAGAAGCATGCTCTGTAATTTTCTGGCTCCCTCCTGGGTCGCACAGTACGGGAGTGAGCAGCTAGCTTTGGTGTCGGCCGGACCTGGCTTCAAATCTCAGTCCTGCCATTTCTGGCTGTGGTCCTCAGGTGCACCTTAAATCTTCCCGAGCCTCAGGGGAGATCAGGATTCCCCCGTGCTGGACCAGTAGTGGTCTACAAAGACACAGGGAATTGACACCTTCAGTCACTTAACTGCCATTGAGTTCACCACTTGGGGCCCGTGTTTCCCTGCTAGAGGAAGAGGGTCCTAGGATGTCCACAGGTCAGGAGAGCCCTGCTGGTGGACAGCTGGGGTGGGGGCGCCCCACCATAAGATCCACCCGGGGCTGGTGAGGTAGCCTGACCGGGGTGCTGTCAGGGGGCCACGGTCAGAGCTGTGGCTGTCCAGGGTCAGTGGCCGCCCTCCGCTAGTGTGGAGGAGAAGGAACAGCCCCCCTCCCTCGTTGGGAGGTGATGGGTAATGGAGCCCATGGAAAGGGACCTCGAGTGCTCTCCATTTCTGTGCCTTATCCTGCCGTTTCTGCTCTCCACCCTTGAGACGAGATGGGGAGAGAGTGCATTTCCTGAGGACCTACTGTGTGCTGTGCCCACGAGGAGCGGGAAGTGGGGAGCTTCTCGGGAGCCTCCCCCCAAGTGGAACCAATTTGGGGTTGCTCTAAGTTGGGTTGGTCTGCAGCCAGGTGCCCAGCCATTGCCCAGCATTAGGAGGGACCTGGACCACCACCTTTTATTTCTTACTGAGCTCAAACTCCCATAACAAAATCCACCATTTTAGCCATTTTAAAGTATGCAATGAGCGGCTTCCAGTAACCGCTGTCAAGTTCCAGAACATTCTTGTTGCTCCCCAAAGAAACCCCTCAGCCATTCAGGAGAACCCTCTGCCCCGATGGCCCCTGGAAACCATGGATCTGCCGTCTGTCTCTGGGTGCACCCTATGACTGGCACCCTGTGCTCCCTGGCCTTCTGTGCCTGGCTTCTCATCACCTAGAAGCACACCCTTCGAGGTGCACCTATGTGTGGGTGTCGTGTTTTATTCCCTGCTGGCTATGAGATGGGTATCGGACCTCCCTTTGTTGTTGAGAACTGAGGCTCAGAGTTCTAGGGTAGACAGCGTGTGAGGATTCGAACTCAGATCTGCATGGCTCTGAAATAACAGCTCTCAGCAGCGTCACTGTGCTGAATCCGAGGCCCTGAGCCTTCTTTGTGACACAGCCCAGGGAGGGTCCCATCCTCCCCAGCCCCGAGCTCCTGCAGTGGGGAGCGATGGTCCCGTCACAGCTGGGCGCTGGGCATGCAAGGCGCCCACTGAGTCCTGACCCGCCTTGGCCTCTCCCCATAGCATCCTGCTCTACGGCAGCGTGGACACTGGCACCCAGTGCCTGGCGACGTGTCGGAGCCCAGGCCTGCAGCCCGTGCTGTGTCTGCGGCACAGCCCTTCCCATCTGCTCGCCGGCCTGCAGGACGGGACCCTGGCCGCCTACCCTCGGACCAGTGGTGAGGACAGGGTCGGGGCTCGGCGGTGGGGCTGGGGAGGCTCTGGGTGCTGGGGTGCTGCGCTGTCTCGCCCTAAGCCTCCCTGTACCAGGACAGTCACCTCTGCTCTGGGGAACAGAGCTGGCCCCCAGCTGTGCGAGCATTGTGGTCGCCAGGCCCTGCGGCTCGCCCCGTCCCCCAGTTTGGTGAGCCCCCAAGGCTGAGTGGCGAGTGTGGCCACCCTCAGGCCACCGAGAGGGGCTCTGAGAGCCTGCAGTTTTCACAGCAGCCATCCCCCCACCTCTGCACAGCCGATGGCAGTGTTACCACGGCCTGCTGCGAGATTATAAACGGATATTTGCTCGGAGCTATCTGTCTCTCTCTATATTTTTGCCACTTGGCACTGTGTAGGTATTTTTAATTAGCTTTTGATAAGGCATTTATAGTTTTTAATTAAAGGGGGAAGGAGGGAACAAGATCCCTCTCACTGTCAGATAGGGTGTGTGTGTGCGAATGTAAATACAGGCGGGAGGCGGGGAGCTTTCGAACGGGGGCTCTGAGGGGACCATCCATCCTGCTGCGGGCCCTGAGTCCTTGGTGTGTGAGTGCCAGGGTGGGGCGGTGGCACAGCTCTCAGGTAAACAACAGATTTATCATCCCATGTTCCGGAGGCAGAAGCCCAAGATATGTCTCAGGTGATGCTCCCTTCTGAGGAACCCAGGAAGGCATCTGTCCAAGGGTCTCCTCAGGTGGGGTGCAGGGCTGGCCTGGTGGTTTTGGGATCACCTGCCTCTGCAGAAGGCAGGTGACCTAAGGGGCAAGCAGGGAGGTGGAGACTCGGCTGCCTGATACTGAGTCCCACTGTGGGGAATTGTGCCTGTGTTGTGCCCCAGCCTCAGTTTCTTCACCTGTGAAATGGGGACACAGGCAGCCCCACTTCACGGCAAGGCTGTGAAAGTTTGATGTGCTCCTTCCCACAATGCCCTGCACCAGAGCCAGTGTCCTGGTCACTGGCATCATCCGTACTGTGTGTTGTCTGCTCCTCCCTTCCAGCGCCTGTGACTTTCAGTCTGTGTCCCACTTACTAGCACTGGGTGGACCTGGACCCCCTTTGTCCCCTGGGGGTGGGAGAAGGGACGTCAGCCTCCTGAGGGGGCGTGGCCAGACAGACAGCTGCTCCTTCCGGGGAGGAGGCTAAGGGCGGGGGTGGGGGGGTGGGGAGGATGAGCCCAGTGTGGGCCGAGCCCCGCCGCTCCAGCTCACCCCTGTCACCTTAGAATCTCAGCCTCGCAGCCTGTGAAGGCAGGCAAGGGCCTTAGAGGACAAGGCAGGCTCCCTGCAAGGGGCACCTCTTGTTCAGGTGCCCCCACCTCAATGGGCGGCTGCCTGGTGACTCTCGCCTCATGTCTCTTCTGGCGGAAGCACTCAGGTGTTGTGAATGGGTCACACTGTCTCATTCTGTCCTTTTGTCCCAACTCCCAGCACACAGAGGTGGCGGCCAGCGGAGATGTGACCCTCCGGGGTCTCAGTGCCCATCTCTTCCCAGGCAGCCGCTGCATGCTCTGTCCAGGGTGGGCGGTGCCTACGGGGTAGACTTCCCAGTTTTGGGGCTCGAAGTTTAGAGTGGGGTGCTCCCAGCATCCTTTTCATCTTCCGCAGCTGGTGCTCCAGCCTCGGCCACAAATGCTGCTCACTTCCGGTCACTAGGGGGCGCGCAAGGTTTTGCGCTGTCTTGGCTTTGGGGTCCAGGTGGCGCCTGGCATCTTTTGGTCACCAGTGCCTCCTTGACCCTGCTGAAGCTTAGAGCAGCAGTCAGACTGCCCGAGGCCTCAGTCGGTCTGGAGGAGACCTGCTTCCTGTGTGCTCGGGCTGATAGCAGCAAGGAGCGTTCCTGTGCTTGGGGTTCCTGTCCCCCAACATCATTGAAAACATGGAAAGAGTGTGACCCAGCTAGGCGGCTGGGAAGATGGGGAGAGGGTGTGGCCCGGGCAGTGCGGGTGGGGAGTCTGCCTCGGCTCCTCCCTCCACAGAAAACCCCAGCTCCGTGCAACTGCTTGGGCCAAGGAAGTGATTCACAGGTGACCTGCGTGGCCCTGGGTATGGGACAGGCCCTTCTCAGGGCCAGGCGAGGCCCCTCAGTCTTTGGGACCACAGACTGGGGCTGACCGGCTCTTGGAGCCGCAGCCTGCACCCGGGGTGGTGGCATCTCTGGAGGCCAGAAATCTCAGTCAAGTCCAGCGCATCAGTGCTGTCTCCCCGGCATCTAGCACCCAGCACCCCGCCTGGTGTGGAGTGGGTGCTTACTGAGTGTGTGTGCCGAGTGAGGGAGAGTGGGGCAGGGGGAGGGTGGATGCGGTGGGAGTTGGAGGCAGATGGGAACGGCCGCCAGTGGCTGGATGGAGACAGGCCTCACAGGGGAAGGGACCTCCACTCCTGGCCTTGGTATCCGAGGACTTAAAGAGCCCAAACTCCCGAGCTGCTCACTGACCACGTTCTCCGTGTCCCTCCAGGTGCAGTCCCGTGGGACCTGGAGAGCCCGCCTGTGTGCCTGACTGTGGGGCCGGGGCCCATCCGCACTCTGCTGAGCCTGGAGGACGCTGTGTGGGCCAGCTGCGGGTCTCGGGTCACTGTCCTGGATGCCACCAGCTTGCGGACTCAGGTACTGGCCCTGTCCTGCGCCGAAAGCCAACACCCTGGCTCTGCTGACCCAGGCCTGTGGGTGACCCCTGGCTCTGCCCACCGCACTTTGCCCTGGGCAGTTGGTGTGAGACTCGGATGTAGCTCCCGAGTGACATTTTGCTGACATTTGCTGTCCCTTGACTCCTTCGGGTTACCTGTGGCGTCAGCTGCCACCAGGCTTGGGGCGTGGCTCTCCGATCTGCTTCCCTGTGCAGCTATAAATCAGCAGGCAGAGTGTGGAACACAGTCAGGTCACAGGTGATGGGGCTGGGTCCCAGAGGACACAGCCTCACTTGACAGATGGGGAAACTGAGGTGTGGGGCGCCTCGGAGGAGCTCTGGGCCTGGAGCTTGAGCCCTAAGGTTGTGGCTGTCGCTGTGTGTGGCATGGAGCCTGGTTGCAGTGCTCAGGTCCACCTCCAGGGCTGGGAGTACCAAGGTCCGGGCTCCAGGCCTGAGTGTGCCAGCTGGGCCCATGGTGTGGAGCCAGGGGAGGAGGAGTCGGTGTCCCTTCCTCGGTCCTTTGGTTTCCTGTGCTAGCCAGAGCTCCAGGAAGCGGAACCACAGGTACACATGTTGCTAACCCATACCCAGGGGGCAAATTCCTCTAAGGAAGTAGAGTTCAGAGAGGCTGAGCATCCTGCCAAGCTGCGGCCCTGCAGAGCTGAGGTATCATCCAGCTGAGGCTGAGGACCAGGAGAGCTCAAGATGTTCATTTGGGAGAACTGGTGCTTCAGTCTGATTCCAAAGGCAGAAAAGACCCAATACCCAGCTCACAGGCACACAGGAAGAGGAGGCAAATCTTCCCTTCCCAGCCTCCTTGTTCTGGTCAGGCCTTCACCGGGTTGGGTGAGGCCCACCCACCCTGGGAAGGGGATCGTCATATGTAGCCCAGAAGGTCAGATGTTCTTATTCTGGATCTTGTTTGGGTAAATATCTGGGCTCTTGGTGTCCCAGTCAATGCATGAAATAAACTCATCTGCAGAACCAGGATCTTTAGAGCCAGCCAGCGCCAGCATGAGGAGTTGCTTGGGCCGTGGCTTTTCCTGGCGCTAGAGGGGCGGCAGAGGGATCATGGCTCCTTACCCAGCTGGAGAGCTTTAGAGGGGAAGAGGGCTGGCGCGGGTGGCCGCTCCCGGTGGGGATCTGCCCCCTTGAGGGGGTGCCCGAGCTCCCCTCCCCGCTGCCTGGGACATGGCACCAACATGGACATGGCTCGGACATCTCTGGTGTTGGTGCTGCTAGGCCAGGTAGGCGGCTCTGTGGAGGGGCCGGGGGACCCTGGCAGGCTGGACACTGCTGCCCCATGACTGACTGCTTGGTCCTCTTTCGCCGGGGGGAGCTAGAGCCAGTGGGAGGGGTGTCCTTGAGTAGCTGTAGCCCCAGCTCCCTTCCCAGCCCCTAGTTTATTCTGGAGGCTGCACCCCACGCCCACCCCATCACACCTTCCAAGGGACTGTCACGTCCCAGCCTTCCCAGAGCAAGGGACTGGGGCGTGGTGGGGGAGGTGGCTGGGGTAACTTGGGGTGTGGAGTGGAACAGAGAGGCAATTGTTGTGCAAGGAAGAAGTGTGGAGGCCAGAGACTCAGGTCTCTGGGGTGCAGAGCCTGGAGACCGGAGAGGGGTGTGGATGGCAGGCCAGAGCTGTGCAGTGCTGTCCAGAGGGCTGGAATCATGGCATCATCGAGGGCAGCAGCCACCACGCCCTGTCCCGGCCTTGCCCACCTCTGTCTTCTCCTCCCAGGAGGAGGCTGCTAAGATGGGACCCCGGCTCTGCTGGTGTTAATGCTGTGTAACCTTGGGCAAGTTGTGTACATTCTTGGGCCTTAGTCACTTCATCTGTAAAATGGGTCTAGCAGAGTGCTCAGGAAGGCTGCAGGGGCTGAGAGCAGTTTGCAGAAAAGACTCCTCATCTCAGGTGGTGCCTGCAGAGAGAGAGGTGGAGGAGCTTTCTTATTACGTAGTTATTTTCCTCCTTTAAATCTGTGCGCCGTGGATGTGGTTTATTTGGAAAATCAAGCTCCAGCCCTCGATAGTTTAGGTTCTGGATGGGCTGCTCTGAGGCAGAGGATCAGTATGGCCTCTCTCCTGCCTCGCCCACCTTGGGGCTTCTGGAGGGCACTGGCCAGGGCAGACAGGACAGAGGAGGCGTGGTCAGAGGCCCCTGCTGCTGGGCCAGAGACAGTGACAGCCAGGAAACCAGGGAAGTCTGTGTGTGCAGCTGGTGCGTCAGCTTGTCCACCTGTGTCCACACAAACACTGGCACAGTAACAAGGCGACTGCCATGTATATTTAATAGAGCTGCGCTCCTGCTGCTGGGAATCCGGGGAAGCCGCTCCACTCCGTGCCGGGCTCTGGAAACGGCTCCGTCTGGCTGCTGCTAATAACTGCCGGACCTGCTCCTGGGCTGGCCGGCTCCCCCTTGGCCTCGGCAGCCCCTGCCTGGCCAGCCAGGCTTGGAGAGCAGACTGGTGTGGCTCACACACTCTCTCATGATCTTGCGTGCGTGTGGACCAAGGGCAATGTCGCTGTACAATGCCTGGCCCTGAAGAAGGGCACCCAGCAGCAGCCTGGGCTGGAGACGGCCATGCAGGGACCCAGAGGTGCGCGGAGCTCAGTGCTCCAAAGCAGGAGGCCCCCAGCAGCCTGTGCTGGCTGGGGTGTGGCTATCATGGCTCAGACCCACAGTGAAGAGATCCTGCTTTGTCTAGAAATTCCCTTAGCTCCAGGAGCTTGTCCTGGCTCCTCCACCCCTGGAAGTAACGATAACAACATGCCTGGGGTGCTTGGTTGCACCAGGTAGGCATGGACTGAAGCCCTTCATGTGTATGAGCTCGTGTAACCCTCAAGCCGCCCTCTGAGGTGGGCACCATATCTCTACTTTACCGACGAGGAAACACAGCTGCACAGAGGTGAAGCAGTTCGAAAAGCAGTCAGGATTTGAGCACAGGCTTCCTGGCTCTCCGCCCTCCTGCCGGCTGTCTTGGTGGGAAGGAGGTGCAGGCTCCTTTTGGCTGCCCTGGCCCTAGATTTCTGTCCCCATCAGATGTCCCCATGGGGGCTCCCATTGTTTTATGAGCTGGCTTCTTTCACCAACACATCCTCCAGGCCAAGGGCTGGGCTTTGTCTTTGTTCCCCCATGACCAGCTCATCGAGGGCAGCAGTGGGTGCCCCGTGGTAGAGTTGTGGCTGCAGGCGGATGGGTTCACCAAGGGTCTCCGATTTCCAGGTCTTGGGTGTCAGGTGCCGGAGGGACAGACCTGAGTGGGATGTGGCATCAGGTCTGCAGGAGCTCAGAGTGCAGGGTGGAGAGAGACCCAGTGTGATGAGGCCTCAGACGTGGGCAGGCCCAGGCCAGCAGGAGCCTGGGGAGGAGAGACAAATACCCAGCCTGGAGGAGGCCAGGCGTGGGGAGCTCTACCCAGATCCCCCTGCTTGAGCAGCCAGGAGAGGTGCTGTGTGACGGACAAGGAGAAAGGAGGCCCGCATCGGGGTGGAAGCAAGTCCCGGGAGCCAGGGACGGCCCAGAGGTGATGGACAGCTTCCTGGGGAACAGGCCTCTGAGCTGGGGTGCTGCCCGGGTGCACTTGGTCCTGCCCGAGTCCCGTTCCCAGCTGGTCCCCACTGGCCGCCCTGACCTCGCTCGTGCCGTCCCCGTGGAGCCGGCACCTGTGGTCTGTCTCTGGGTTTTACTCCTGCCCACCAACTGCTTTTCAGCTCCTTGATCCCAGTGGAGGCACAATTGAGGCCTGATAAATAATAATGTCGCTCACCGGGGCCTGTGTCAACACCGCATCCCCTGTGTTCATTATCTAGATCGCCACCTTCAAAGTCTAATCCAGTCGTCTGGAGTTCATTTCAAGCGGTCGCCGGAGGGGGAAGCTGGCTGTGGGATGATTGTTGCATCTTAATTTAAAAAAACTTATTGGGGACAGGTTGACAGGAGGCCCACAGCGTGTAGGGTGCGCTCTGCCAAGCTGGGGAGGTTTCAGCACGGGACGGGGATACTTCCATGTGATGAGCCTGGGGCTTCTGCCCCCCAACCTCAGGACGGGGGTGGGGAGTGGTGGGGCTCGGGGGCTGTGCGTGTCGTAATGCGGTCAGCCTTGCAGTGCTGTGGAGAGATGGGCCGGGCCCATATGTGGGCTGGAAGCAGGCTGGCAGTCAGGACTTTTTCTCAGTCTGCAGTCCCGCTGGCCCCTTGGTGCCCGTGGAGGGCGCCATGCCCAGCAGCCCCTTTGCTCCCTGGTTCTGGAGCAGCGATGAGTGGGTGAGCTCCAGTGGCTCCTCCATCACTCAGGACCCAGCTTAGGCACCGGCCCCTGGTGAGGCCTCCCTGACCCACCACTGCAGCTGAGTCCCCTTCGCCCCAGTCGCAGTTTACCCCGTCACCCATCATTATGGCCATGTGAGCAGTGGTCCCTTTCTGAAAATATTCCCCATTTCACAGGATGGGTCTGAAAATATTCCCCATTTCACAGGATGTGCAGTCTGGGAAAATCCAAGCTGGGAGAGGGCTCGGAGCTCCTGGGCCCAGCTGGAGAGGTGTCCTGGAGAGAATAGTGCCAGGCAGGACCACAGGACGTGGAGCAGGCGAGCACACCCCGAGAAGATGGGAAGAGATGGGTGCAGGGTGTGGTTTCCAGGGTGGATCCCGCCGAGCAAGGTGGAGGGCACACCTGTGATTCCCACAGAGCCTGTCCCTGCCTGGCCATGGAACCCGATGGGGTGCGTGCGGTGCGTGTGGCAGGACAGCTGTGTCCCCTGCCGTGGCACCAGTCTGAGGAAAAACCTGTAGACTCCTCGACTCCTCACACGCCGCCGGGTCAGTCTGTGTGACTTCCCAAAGGATGTAGCTCTTACGGAGCTGCAGGTTGATGTTTTGGGGCTGACGGTGGACTGAAGCCAGCTGAGCTGTGCGGGGCAGGGCAGGTCCAGGCCTGGTTGGCTGTCACTGTCCTCCTGCAGCCTGATGGGGGAA